GTGCCGACTTTATTTTCAGTAAAAAAGTTAATCACTGATTATTTTATCGAACATTAAAAAAGTTAATCACTGATTATTTTATCGAACCCTTTTTTATTAACTTCAAAGTAATACTAGCATCGAAGAGAAGCAAGTATAATGCAAAATATGGTGGCCCTTAAATATAAACAGTGTTGCCGTTTTGATACATATGTATCCAATTGGATGCATTTTTGCCTTAACTTTTGCGGGATACTTCGTTTTTTTCCTCAGTGCAAATTTGTATACCTTTTCCCATAAGTATTTGTAAGTTGAAGGAAATTTTTTGTATTTATGTACGAGTTATTAAAACATTTTTAACAGTTGGCTGCTCATTCTCCAAGCAATAAATTATTCTTATTCTTATTCTTTTCACTTTGAAAAATTAAATTTTTAGCTACATAAACGTGCATTTAAAAACACCAAGTACTTTCCAAATTTTTAAAAGTACACCTTCTCTTAGCAGTCAAGAGAAATTGACAACCATGCCGATGACTAATTTTCAACTATAACTTGACTGCACTAAAAACAACTTATAACTTCTAAATTTTGAGTTATATGTCATTAAGGGAGAATTCAAACAACCTTAAAATATACATTTTTCTTGAAGGCGGAATATACAGACAAATACAAGTTTTTGAGAATTTTTTAAATTTCATAGATAGCTCCCAATCCAACAGTTTCATTGAAAAATATTGTAACCATAATAGCAGGAAATAACAATTTACTAAAAAGTAAATGTAGCATGTAAAAATTAGTTTAAATTAGTATTATTTTGATAGACTAGGAAACATTTTTTGCATGTATTATTCGTGGGAATCTAGTAATAATAGATAAGCCCCAAGCACATATGTTAGTGTTTGGCCTCGCTTCTCCTCTGATTTGTGGCGTGCGCCTTGATGTTGTCACACAAAGTGGAGGGACCTATAGTTTTACGCCGACTCCGAACGGCGATTGTATTTTTATGAGAAGCTGTTTTTCATGGCAGAAATACACTCGGAGGCTTGCCATTGCCTGCCGACGGACGACCGCTGTTAAGAAAAAACCTTTTTTCTATATTTTTTGCGATGTTGCTTTGACCAGGGTTTGAACCCAGGCGTTGCGGAGTGGAAACGCGCACTGCTTACCACTACACCACAGCGGCCGTGGGAATCTAATCGTAGTAATAAACATCGAACATGCGGAAACTTTGGCCCGTAGTTGAAGTCAGTATTTTCCCATTCTTAGAAAGAGATCTGGGAAACAAAGGCCTGTAGTTATAGTCAAAATTAAGTCGACAAAAAAGTTAGTTGCAGCTTTTTTGACAGATATTCCGTTGAAACTTATGTCAGAAAGCTGCAATTAACTTTAGAGTCGATTTAACTTTGACTATAACTACGGGCCTTTGTTTACCAAATCCGTATCTAAGGATGGGAAATTACTGACGACATGTTAATAAGTTTTTTATGGGGCCGAGTTTTTTTTCCATAGATGCAGTGTGTAAAAATGTCCTCTCTTTTCGGTGGATACATTTGGATACAGTTTTCGATCTTTTATGGATACTTTAAAGGCTAAGGCAGTGGCAACACTGAATATAAATACCCCTTAATTTCATGTTGAACTTTATTAATTTTCATTCACTTAAACGCGTCTCAGGACTATATAGACATATGCTTTTAAATTAATACAATTTATATATAGGGGCCCGTAATTTTTTAGTCCCGGGGCCGAGTTTTCACTCGACGTTCCTGTACATAATAGCTCGTTCAAAATATTTTTAACACTTTTTTAAAACTTACAAAGGCAAATTAGAAAAGGTCAAAACAAAAAGGAAATAGAAAAATTGCACACACAAAAAGAGGATAGACAAATTTTGAGAGCCACATATATATTGTTAGTATTCTGTGCGTTGCGTGAAGTATAATCACCACAATGTTTCACAAGTAAGGTCTATCTATACAGTGTAATGTAAAGTATGCATAGCGAGCCTTAATCGAACTGCATTTAATACGGCAAATGTAATGCCAAAAATTACAACTTCTTTTCATTTTTCTAATATTTTCCCACAGCTTAATGAAATGTAGGCATTTAAAAAGAGGTTACCACTGAAATAGAGATAATTAGGGCATATTTAAATTTACGTCGTTTTCCTCTTTTTAATGGAATGCCCCAAAAGCATTTTCAAAGGTAAAGCTTTACTTGTAGGGAGTGCAGTATATTTTGCTTTGCTGCTTTTATGCTTAAGTGCACATTTACGATACCTACTCCAAAATGCGCATCAGCGATACTTGTTTAAATTTATAAGGAAACTACTCCGATAGATGCATTCAACATACCTGCACATTAGTGATACCTGCCTTAAAAATTATTCAACTATTCAATTATCAAAGAAAGTATTACGTTTACCTGCACTGGCTCCACACTTACCTTAATTTTACAAGGCTTCATTTATTTTGCTCATCTCACAGAACAACGAAAGCGACTAACGTTTTATGCATATACTAGGTTAACAGATACCATTCGAAAAAAAAGTTCGCTTGCAGTAATTTCTACGTGGTAAGTGCTAATCTATTAATTGGTTTCATTGGGATTCGGATACCTTCTTCATTGAAGTAGTAAAGAAAATTCGCTTAAGTGCTTTTTTCGGCTAAGCGCACAAGTTTTTCGCGCAAAGAAGGATGGGCAGCTAAGCAAAATATACTGTATTTAAACATTCGAATAAACACAAATTCATTTCCAAACTATAACAAGTAATAATATTATAGTTAAAAAAACTAAAAACACGCTTTTATTACAACAAGAACTAAAAAGTATAAAATAATTTGTAGATATAGCGATTCCGTTTAAGAAGAATAGGAAGTTCCCTAACCTGATTTAATTTAACTGTTTTAAGTTAGCTAAAAATATGATTAAAGTGATTGATCCGTAGTTATAGTCAAAATAAAGTGCACTGTAAAGTTTGTTGCAGTTTTTTTGACAGATACCCCATTGAAAGTTATGCCAAAAAGCTGCAACAAACTTTACAGTGCACTTTATTTTGACTATAACTATGGATCAATCACTTTAATCATATTTTTAGCTAACTTAAAACAGTTAAATTAAATCAGGTTAGGGAACTTCCTATTCTTCTTAAACGGAATCGCTATATCTACAAATTATTTTATACTTTTTAGTTCTTGTTGTAATAAAAGCGTGTTTTTAGTTTTTTTAACTATAATATTATTTTCTACTTTTTAGTCTTTTGAAATCTTGCAGTTAATATTATACTAAATTTGACTTAACAAACAAAATTTTCAATATATTTCAATTTAAATAGATAATACACCTATTCTGAATATAAACCAAATTTGAGCACAGATGCCGAATTTTTAATTATATAGACTCACGCGCCACATAACTGCCAAAATTTTTTGTGTAGTTATTTCTTTTCATGTAAGCAATATGCATTCTAAATGTGAACTTAATCGGATCATAAATACGGGTTTTCCAAATATCTCGACTCCTGCGCCACCTGTCGGCAAAATTTTTTGTGGATTTATTTATTTTCATATAAGTCATATATGTTCTAAATATGAACCACATCAGACTATAAATGGGGGTTTTACAAATATCTCGACTCCTGCGCCACCTATCGGCAAAATTTTTTTCGGGATTTATTTCTTTTCATATAAGTAATATATGCTATAAATATGAACCAAATCAGACTATAAATGCGGGTTTTACAAATATCTCGACTCCTGCGCCACCTATCGGCAAATTTTTTTTCGGGATTTATTTCTTTTCATATAAGTAATATATGTTATAAATATGAACCAAATCAGACTATGAATGCGGGATTTACAAATATCTCGACTCCTGCGCCACCTAGCGGATTAAAACATCTTTTAAATTGTATTGTCCTCGAGTTCTGAGCTAAGTTTAAAGTTTCAAGTCTGTAGCTCATCGGGAAGTTTGTTAAATATTGACTGCAAAGTTCCAGGACATACATACATACATACATACATACATACAAGTGAAGTTAAATAAAAGCTTGTAAAAAGTCTAAGTTCGGGCGGAGCGAAAACTACCGCTACATGGTAAGCAGGGGTGGATTTTATCCCTATTTCAAACATTTTTGATAAACTTATGTCCAAAATTCGTTACATCTTTCGAAGGGATTGTGTCAATTTGATGTAAATTAGCGTCCTTACATTTCGAAATATCGAAGTTTCAAGCATTTCTGAAATTTACCGTTATATAAAAAGTGGGCGTCATTTTAGTCTGATTTCAATAATTTTCAGCGTTTTGCTTTTATGTGGCAAGCACAATAATCATATGTGGGCGGTGCCATGCCCATTTTCCAAAATTTTATTATAGGCGTATTTTGTGCTAAAGAATTTTTGCAAACATCAATTTTGAATAAATTAGCTTCGGTATTTACTGATTTATCGAAAAATTTGTATTTCTCCAAATTACCGTTATAAGGGATGTGGGCGTGGTTATTGTCCGATTTTAAAAATTTGGTATGTTGTACCAAGCCCAACAACCGTGCCAAGTTTGGGAGAAATTGGTGTAGCGGTTCCCAAGATATACAAGTGTAATCATAAGTGGGTGTGGTTATTGTAAATATCAATTTAGAGCGAATAAGCTTCAGTAGTTACTAAAATATCGCAGTTTTCGTATTTCTGAAAACTACCGTTATTTGGAAGGTAGGCGTGGTTATTGTCCGATTTTCCCCATTTTCAATATCATCCGTCCTACGCCGAAATGAAGTAAACATACCAAGTTTCGTTACGATATCTCAATTTTCACTCAAGTTATCGTGTGCACAGATGGACGGACAGACGGACATACAGTCACCGCTTAATCGATTTCTTGTTTCATTCTGATCATTTATGTATACATTTGTCTATATCTATCTCGATTCATTTTGCCTGCTACAAACAACCGTTATGTGAACAAAGTTATAATACCCTTCTGCACAAGTGCGCTCGGGTATAAAATGTAAGCTTTGGGCAACTTACCGCATCGCGTACAATACGCTGTCTCCGCGACGTGAGAACGTAGCCAATCTTCAAGTACACGTACATCATAACTGCAAGCGGAATAAAAAATGAACCCATTGCAGAAAAGACCACATATCCTTTATTTTGATTGTAGCGGCAAACGACATTACCCTGGCGTCGTCGTCCCTTTTCGTACCTAGGAGTAAATTGCAAACAAAGAATTGAAAAAAGTATTACAACCAGACCCAAAATAATAACACAATGCAACAAGATTTTACGTATTTCATGAAAGCAAAAGTAAATGAAAGTCTCATAATAAAATCCCAAAATGGTTTTTAGCCTATAGATGTGGTTTTTGTATTGCGTAGTTAAAGTTGGTGAACCTGTACACAAGAAAAATTTATTAAAATTCAATCAAATGATGAAATTAACCTGGAAAGTTGTGGTGTCTTACTGTTCTTTGGGTCGAAGAATTCATTTTTGATATGTTTGTTTTTACCTAAAGCTTACGCTAGGTGGCGATGTCGTACCATTTGGCAATTATTTACTAAGATATAACTAACTTAAAATTTTTTGAAATCACCGTTACGTGGGCGGAGCGCGTGTCTAAAATTTTAAAGACGGTGCTTAAGGGGGCTAAGCGCAATGTTTATACCAAATTCGGTCGAGATCGGTGGAGTAAGTTTTGAGATACACATATATGATATAAGTGGGCGGGGCGACCAGTTTTAGAAAATTTTTTTTTTCTTATGTTGGGTTGAACCATATTGCAATATTAGAAGGTGTTGTCGGCTGGCAGCTTTTCGCTCTAATTCCGCCATATTGACTGCCTTAGTTGAAACAGTGTTACTTCTTTAACAATTCTTTGCCTAATAATATAGTTGAATGTTTTTTTATTTTTTCTCAGTACACACATTTTGTTTTCTTAAAAAGGTATTTTCTCTTATTTTATTTCATTTCTTTACGAATATACTATAAAAAAAGCCAATTTTTTTAGAAGAAAATATGAAATTTTATATTTTTCCACCAAATGGGGATTCATTTCTTCCCGTTTTTCTTCTTATTCTACCGAGCTAAGGCAGTATCAAAGCGAGCGTCAGAACTGATACCACCTTGTATTATTGCATCATGGGGTTGAACCGGACTTGAACCCAGGTCCTGCGGAGTGGTATCGCGCTCTGCTAACCACTGCACCACAGCGGCTGCTGTGGATAAATATTAGGATAAAGAAAAGAAAAAATAATAATCTTAAGGAAAAAAGATTAAGATAAATCTAACTATAACGGAAAGGGTAAATGTAGTGATAAAGATAGAAAAAGATAAAATATATAACCTCAGGCTTATAACAAACTAGATTTGTAACGTAAGCTTCACTTCTCCAGTATGACCCATGCGCACCTACTTTTTTTATTATTATTCGAATATCCAGCTTATAAAATTAACTTATCTTGTCGACATTTTTGGAAAGATCAGTAAAATTACTTCAATTTTGCAGGAAAAATCAATTATCATCTTTTAAAAGAAAGTGAAATTTCTCGATTACCGTGGTAAATGTTTGCTGCCATTTTGGGACCGCCATTTTAAATTTTTCCAACCTGTCCTCAGATTCGTAATAAGCGGCCGCAACAACCCCAGAGTAAATCGTTTCAAGGGGTCGAATCGATTTAAATTTTTCGGCCGCTTTATTGGATTCGCCAATATGAATTTTTTAAATCATGCTCTAGGTTCGTCATCAGCAACCTCAAAAACATAAGAACCATCTGTCACTTTTAATTTTTTAGTGCTGGGTTCTCCGGTGGCACAAAAATTGTAAAGCAAAATCTAATTTACGGTTAGCTTAGACGCCATAGTTGAGAGGCCACACTGTTCTCAGTGAGAGCATCTATGCGACCATTTTAAGACCTTAATCTTGGTCATTCGCCTATAGAATGTTGGCCATGAACTGTACTCATCGCACAAAAAAATATTCGTAAAAATTTTTGGAGAATGAAATTCTCCACAACTTTGTTATTTGAATATGTTACGTATTTTCAACAGAAGTTGTTCAAAATGGCGAAAACCGTGACAATGTACCATTTTTTCGCAATTTTTGCTAATTATTTACAATAAAAAACGTTTCTAAAAAACCTATTATATAAAAAAAATTTTGGAAATTAAATTCTCTACGAAATTCTATTTAACCATTTTTTACAAAAATTTTAAAATAGTCTTGTAAATCGAAAACAACCAATAAGAAAACCTAAAATCCTAGATGGCGGAATGTTCCCATATGAAATTTAGAGGCAAGACTGTGGATCCATGATCTACGTGTAGGGCTGCCAGATATCTCTGTTGCCAAACCGGGACACCTTAGGGAGGGCCTCTCGCCCCTTCTCTTTCATTTCAACGTGCGAAAGGATGTAGTGAAATTTTATTTTGACAGACAAAAAAAAAATATAAAAACATGAGATCATGAGATCATTCCAACGTACGCCAACAAAACAAAACAACTTATCACAACTAAAGCACAGAGCAATTTTTCACAATGCATGAATCTTTTTTTATTCTTTATAAAAATACAGTTTATAATAAATATATGAAAAACATAAAAATAAAATTGTTAAACTTTGTTCTAAACTCGGGAAAATTCAATAAATTTGCATACAAATTCGCAACATTCAAATCAGACTTTTTATAAAAAAGTTTAAAATGAAGTTTTGCAGCCCATTCAATTTTAGTTGATTTTTGGTTTTGTTTTTACTGAGAGTTTCTTCCATACAAACTATGTTCGATAATTCTTTTTATATGGAAGACACTGTCAGCAAAAAAAAATAAATGCTCAGACTTGCACTTTATTAATTGGCTCAAAAGCTACATTTTCAAAATTTTTCTAAAAGATCTGATTAGAAATTGTGATCTGAGGAAAGAGCCTCCGAGCCAAAATTTCGTACGGCACTGAACTTATAAGTACTCTAGGTTTCATGAAAGAAAAAAATTTAAGTACAAGATAACATTAAAATATCAGTCATATTTTTCGTTGCTGTGAACTTGTTTCAAAACGTCTGTCTTTTCCTTAATATAATTGTAAAACTCTGTGCATACGAAAGAGCACCAACCCAACTCCTAATACATTTAAGTATACAAATTTTAGTATTTAGTATGGAAATAATCAATTCAAATACGCCCATATTAAAATGAAGCGATTAGCAATTACCGATTTCTTTTTCATAATTAAGTTAAAAAAATATTTAAATTCCTTGCTGGTTGTAATGGGAATTGAATTCTGACCCTCTGGAAATTAGCAAATTGTGGCCAGACATGTAAATGTCCATTTGAATGTTGAGTTTGAATCAACACCACGCGTGTGTGTTATTATTTTTAAATACGAATATTTTTAAACGATAATCGAAGAGAAAATATTCATGTTTACTAATATTACAACGCGTTTTTTCTCTTAGTGTAGTGATTTTTGAACTTTTATTCAAATTAGTGCAATCAAATCAAAAACCGGGACACTAAAACGAAACCCGGGACATTTTAAGGTTGGACCGGGACACCGGGACCAATAGCCTAAACCGGGACATGTCCGGGACGTCTGGCAGCCCTATCTACGTGTCAAACATAAGTAAACTGCATTAAAAATTCCCTACTAAAAATGTTTTCCTGCGTACCAATTTGATCTAAGTTGCCCAGTAGAGAACTTACTAATAAGAAAACAAAAATTTTAATTTTTGGCCTTGCGAACTTGTTTTATACTATGTTCACGTTGAGCCCTACACTCGAGTATATGGGTCATTTTGGAGTTTAACGCTAAACTCTGCTGTTAAACTCGGAGTTTAGCATACAAACAATTTTTTGTTAAACTCGTCTTAAACACCAATTTTATTTGGTGCTAATCGGAATACAACCCAGGCAGTGCAAAGAATTTGCAAAAAAATTGGCCGCACTAGTATACTACAGGATATACATAATCAGAAATAGTCCGAGGTCGTTCAGTATACATAAATCGGCTCTTTGCTTAGCAAATTATTTTAAATATTGAAGCTAAACTACGTCTTTTTATTCATGATCTCAAAAAAAAGAATATTTTATCATTATTTAAAAGCAGATTTTGAAAAAAGATTTACCGTTTTGAAATTATCTAAATAAGCGTACATTTACTTCATAAACCCTTTTTTATGTAACATAATTGAGTACGAGTTTACAATATCCGAAATACTCCCTTTTAAGAACAGCGAAAGAAGAAAAGTTGGAGTTTTTGGAATAAAAAGAAGATAAGGCACTAAAAATGCAACATAAAGCTTTGACATTGCTTGAATCCCGGCAACAAGTACCAGATTTTAAATATCCGCTGTTGAAAACAGATAAGTGCCGTATATTTTCAATTTTTGGTACAACGTATAACTGTGGGTCTTTGTACTTTACAATGAAATTCGTAAAGTCACAAACCGTTCACAATTAGTTGCATTCGCGTGCCTGTGAAATATTGAAAGTTATCAAAAACTATCAGCTTTTTGCGATCGCGTACGCGAAAAACTTGCAATGTAGGAGAAATTGAAAGAGCAGAGTGGCATTTCATTTTGAGGGGACGCTGTTAGTTTCTGCTGGAAAATGTTTGCCAACAGCAATTTGCCAACAAGAAAACAGCTGATCGAAAACAGCTGGTTGGAATTTACGCAAATCCCTAAATTGAATTTGATTGTTTGGAAGTTAAAATAGTAAAATGCGACTAATTAAACTTGTAAGAAGGAAGTAATTATTCGTTTATTTAGTGAACTGTGTCAGGATAAGACTTCGGGATTTGTTTTCTTACGTTGTCAATTTTATACCTTTGGATGTAAACAAAATTTATAAAGCTGCTCGTCTAACGTGCAAGTTTTTGCACATTTTCTGACATTTCGCATTTAACTGACGTAAAACCAGATTTTGAAAATTTGGCTAAAGAGATATTTTGAATTTTCTTTAATATCTTTCTCACGTAGATTAGAATAATAATAAAATTAATGTTTTTAATTTTTAATAATAATTTTTGTAAAAATACATTTTTTTGTGTGGCATTTAGAATTTACATGTGGCTCTTTTCGGCCTCGGCCCTGCCCACCCCTGGTCTAGAATATCAAGAGTTTAGTTATGCAAGCATCAAAAATGTGGCTCGATAGAACTTTTCGTGCTGATTTCAACCATATCAAGGCCCAAGTAAAAAAAAAAGAAAATATC